ATTCCCGCCTAAAATTAAATTACCGTGAATACTGTGTACATGGAAGGAATGCTCAGCATCTAAATACATTTTACAATACAATACATAATTGCGTTACCAAAGCATGTGTCTACCTACTCAAGTGCCCATGTGGCCTTGTCTACGTGGGCAAGACCATGGGACCGTTTAAGCGGCGTTTTCAAAAACACTGCAGCGACATCAGAACTGAATTTTCACTTGTTCTGCCTGATGAAGGGGATCCTGTGTGACCCCGAAACGTTGCAATAAGTGTACTATTGCATGATACGTCAATAAAAAGACGTTCTTCTATCTTGGAGTGCCGGTGTCCATCATTTCTTTATACTACTTAGACGGTGGCCAGCCGTCGACTACTGATGCACCCAACCTATTACTATGGATTAGCGGTAAGGAGTGCAATGGGTACATGGACTGTGGGCAGTTAGAATAACACATACACAACAACATCCCAGATAGCAAGCAATTGAGCTGCAAGTTTTTGTAATTACACGGCCGCCCGGGAGCTTTACATTCAAGCGATCGAGCGTCTAGAGACGCCCGATCGCTTGTATAGGAGCAGGCGTCACTGCTTTGGCGGTCCCGAGATCCGCTGTGCCCGATGCGGCCAGCACGGCTGCTCTGTGACAGGAGATCGGTACACAATCTTCCTCTGATCTCTCCAGTCCCCGAATGCAGGAAGTGATGTATATTACATCACTTCCTGCATTCAGTGTCACTCTCCAGCTACAGGAGCTGATGAAGCAGATCTCTGGGGGTCCTTAGGTGACATTAGGGGTTTTGGAGAACCATGATGTCTACATAAAGAGGGCCTGTAATGTAAATTGGCTATCACATAGGGGGCTTCTTATCCGCCTATGTGATAGCAATAAAGTTGTGTAAAAAAAAAAAAAGAAATATAAAAAAAATTAAGAGGCATAATTTTTTTTAAGCCCTCAGCCCCCCACGTGCACACAGCAGATATGCTTCGGGTGTGCCTAAGTGCAAATACAACAATTGCGCCTTTTGTGCCACACATGTTACATATCGCCGCAAACGTCGGAGTGAGAGCAATAATTTTAGGGTCATTAATCACTGATAACACTAAACTGATGAGCAATAAAAACGTTTTAAGCGTCACCTATGGTCAGTTTTCGGTGTGGTCGTTTGTTGCAATTTTGCAGGCGCGCACAATTATAAAGCTTGACATGTTTGGTGTCTATTCACCCGACCTGACCCGATCTTTTATATTTTACCACAAAAGAATAAATGTTTTATAACATAACGGAGGGAAAACATTTTTTTGGGTGAAATTTACAGTACTTTTTTCATAATATAGTAAAAAAGTAAACACACCCCCCAGTGGTGATTATATACCTCCAAAAGAAAGCTCTATGTGTCCCCAAAAAATGTTACCATACATTGCAAGGCCGATAGTCCGGTCATGCTGACAGGTGACATTTTTGATTGACTGGTGAGACACCCTAAAATTTTTCAAGCACTGGTCATAATGAAATAAAATGCAAACAATAATTAAAAATTAAGAGGCATAAATTTCATATTTTGAGACAAGCATTTTTAATTCCAGCAGCCATTTCTGTCTCCTATCTAAATTCTACATAAAACTATACACAAAACCCTGACCCTATGGAAGTAACTCACAGAGTGCAGGGGTAAGATGTAAGCAACGCACACAGTGCAGGGGTAAGATGTAAGCAACGCACAGAGGGCAAAAGTAAGTAACGCGCAGAGGGCAAAAGTAAGGAACGCACAGAGGTCAGATGTAAGGAACGCGCAGAGGGCAGAATTAAGGAACAGCACAGAGGTCAGAAGTAAGGAACGTGCAGAGGTCAGAAGTAAGGAACGTGCAGAGGTCAAAAGTAAGGAACGCGCTTATACAGTTCCCTTGGCTGAAGTGGGGCAGCACCCCTAGTAATCCCGCATAGCACTCCTCAGTTTTATGATCCATTTTTGGCGCTTTTGTTTTGCTTGCTAGGTAAGGCATGAGACCAAATGTTATAATTAATCGAAAATTAATCGATTAAAAAAAATTTCGATTAATCAAACACGAAAATTTTAATCATTTTCATTACCAGCCCTAATAATAAATTAGGGTAAACAAAAATGTCTAAAAGGTTTAATGTATTTCATCATAGGTAATATTATTATCCAAATTTCAGTGGTGTTACAGTAGGTCTGGACGTAAGAAGGACGGAAAGACTCCAGAAATAAACTGATTAAAACAAAATAAAGCAAGAAAACATTATAGACCTAATAAATAACAATCCACTAGTGCTATAAGTATTTATATAACCTCTAGTTATGATCATTCTGATATATGGTGTGCAGGGCCACCATCAGGGGGGTATGGCCAGCACTCAAGTAAGGGGCCCCAGCAGCTTGGGGGGCCAGGCTCCAACCAAGGAGTTTACGCTATAAAATATTATGTACAGTCCAGTTGGTATGGTCGTCCCCCCTGTACGATTGGTCAGTCTTTTTCTATCAGAGATATCTTTGTTTTATATAGACATAATTTTAGTGTTACTATTATATGGCAAACCTGTGAGGAGAGGACATATATATACCAATATATATATTGGTCATCAGTTTCTAGTGAGTTGTTGACACTGACCTGGAATAAGCATAGATGATGGGAGTTCATACTTCACCACTGACTGCAGGCTTGTTCCAGGCTAGTGACTCACTAAATTACAGGATCAGACATACAATTTAATAGCAGCTTTTTAGTATGTCAACAATGATAGCTCCCATATCTCCATGTTGACAGGTTTACATAGAACAAGCAATATGATAAATGATCTAACATTACATTGTTAGCTATAACCAAGGAAATTATATCCCAATTTCAGGTATGCAAGGACCCGGAAATGGGAAGCGTCTTGCGTGGGGGGGGCTTTCTAGAAACACTTAGGCTCTCACAATGTATTTATAAAAGAGAATAATTTATTATTTACAAAGAGTTAAAAACACATAGTATTATTGCACTAGAAGGATTTGTGACAAAAATAGCCATAATACAGATGATAACACAGTGAGTTGCAGTGGTGTTAATTATTAATGTATATTTAAGCAGTTGAATCAATATACTATGTGTTTTCTGCATTTATTTAATAATTCACTATTAGTTTAGATCTAGGATTGTGTCTCACATCAGTAATACAGGCACTTTATTTAGTTATTTATTTATATTCATGATTCATCACAATACATGTTGGAATTTTGTTTCCACACACCTACTCACAACTAATGATTGGATTTAAATTTAATTTATTTAATTAATTTATTCAAATAGTTGACTTATGTTTCTAGAATTATATCCCATTTCCGGGTCCTTGCATACCTGAAATTGGGATATAATTTCCTTGGTTATATCTACTGTATTAAAGTGTGAAACCTTGCTCTCCTCTTTTGTTTTGCCAGCACGCACCCACTAATGTTATAATTACATTGTTAGCTGACATATACAGTTGTGTGTTTAACCACTTGAAGGCCAGGGTGTTTACACCCTCTTCCTGGCCAGGGGATTTTTCGGTATTCAGCGCTGCGGTACTTTGACTGACATTTATTCCGTCATGCAACACCGTACTGAAATTAATTTAATACTATTTTATGGGGACAGATAGAGCTTTCTTTTGGTGGTATTTAATCATCAGTGGATTTATTTTTTATTTTTAACTGAATAATGAAAAAATTTACTAAAAGAAAAAATAATAATGTATATGTTATGTTATAAAACATTTATTATTTCCCAATTTTTTGGTAAAATATGAAAGACGGTCACGTCGGGTAAATAGGCACTTAACATGTCAAGCCTTAAACTTTAAAATAGCAAAACTCTCCCATAACCAAAAGTGTCTATAGGCAAAGTTTCAAAAGCTTTTACTGCTCATTACTTTAGTGCTAACAATGATCAATGGCCCTAAAATTATTGCTTGCACTCTGATGTTCTCGGTGATATGTAACATGTGCGGCACAAAGGGCGAAATTGTCATTAAGAAGCACCCTATGTAATATCAAATTACTGTGACAGGTCCTCTTTAAGGAGACATCAGGGGTCTTTAACACCCCTAATGTCACCTAGGGACCCCCTAAGAAGCTTCTGTAGCTGAAGAGTAACAGCTGAATGCAGAAGTAATAAACATCACTTCTGAATTCACAACACCAGGGTTCACCACATTCAGAACATCAGATTGTGTACTGATTGTGTACCTCTGATCTCCCAGCACAGAGCCGCCATGCTCCTCCTGGGCCTGCATGGGAAGCCTGTGATCAGTGGAGGGGGAGCGCACGGAGCGGCATCACATACAAGTGATCCGCTGTCTCCACAGGTGTCGGAACGCTTGTATGTAAACGGCTGTTTAAAATTTTGACAGTTTACCACTCGTGTGCTAGAGGCGGCGCGCACGAGCAGGGGCGGAGTGAGGACTTTTTTAAACCCCCACCCGGATCTACAAAACTCCCTTCCGGCCTTCTATGTACGGCCGGCGGACGGGAAGCGGGAAATCATACTCAAACCCGTGGGAGGTGATTTATAAGTCATTTACGTAGACATATTCTGCCTGAATGCTGAGTGCATGGCATTCTCTACACTTTTCCTATTCTTGTTGGCTCCATCTAGTGGCGAGAATGCAGTGTGAACAACATTTGGCCAGCCTATGTCTGGGTGGATGATTTATAAATCATTCCCTAATTGTTGTAGCTACTGTATTCTTTCTGTTGAAGTAAAAATATGCAGCATCCTAAGAGCAGAGAGTAGGAACATGTAACATTTTCATTACATAAACAAAGACGTTTTATATAAGTGCAAGTAGTAGATGTTTTACACCATGTTACATATGAGATTATTTTGTTTTCTATTTCTACCTATTGTGTACACTAACAGAAAGAGAGACTGCTCCAAATTGGTTTCTATTTCTACCTATTGTGTCCGTTCATTAAATGGATGTGCTGCCTCCTACTGATAACGTGAAGAAGGGATATACTAGTTATTGTTGAAGGAAAGATAGATTTTCCATCAGTGTGTCTCTTGCACAGTAATACACGGCAGTATCTTCAGTTTTCATGTTGTCCATTTTCAGGGTCAGCTTGTTGTTGTTGTCATCCCTAGTGGTTGTGAATCTTCCTTTAACATCATTATTATAGTTTGTACTCCCACTGCTACCAATATTACACAACCATTGTAACTTTCCATCAGAGAACTGTCTGATCCAGTGCATCCAGTTGCTACCAAAGGTGAATCCTCCTGAACCCTGACAGGTCAGTGTATGGGAGTTCCCCGGCTTTATCACCGCTGGATTAGACTGGGCAAGTTGGTTAGACAGGACACCTGGAAAATATACAATAAGAATAGGAAATACCATTATTACTAATGATGAAACTCTTTCCTAATAGATCACTTATTTCATCATAGAGAAACTGTCCTGTGAAGTCTCACCTGACAGCCATGTTAGTGAAACAAAAAGCATTATTAAGGTCTTCATTATTCCTCTGTATCTATACAATTCATTGATAACCTGTAAAACATCTTCTCTATCTTTATATTTATATTGTATGAGCGGTTTCAAAATAGGAAGTGATGTCATGTAATTTGCATAGTAAATGGAAATATCTACAACACATGAATAGCTCCTAACATGTGTGTCAGAACATATAGTCAGGTAAAAGTATATGGCTACCCAAGGTGTATTTAAATATCATTTGACTTTCATCAAATTATTTCAGTTTTATGATCATAAAGTCTTTCCAGTAAAGTAAATCATAAAATTAGTTTTTGCTGCTTTTTCAAAACAAACATGGACATAAAGTGTAACTCCAGGCAAACTGATAGATACATGGTTGAAATACATATTTGTTTACTGTTTTACCTGCCTAATGATTTATAATTCTGTTTATCCAGTCTTTTGATTTACACACATTTTCACATTATCATACCCCATTGCTGTGCGACAGGGCTTTGTTTATCAAAGTCATCTCACACCCCAATGATGACATCATGCTTACATTACTTTGTTTTTATATAAAATGTTAGGATTTTCAATAGGGTTAAGGTTAGCACTAGAGTTTGGGTTAGGGTTCATGTTGGTTTATTATTAATGTTTGAATTCTTTGGCACATGAATAGGCCCAGAATACTTTAAAGGAACTTCCCTAACCCTCAAATGCTATTCAAAGACAACGGAATTCTAAAAACTACTTTGTCTTCATATTTACTCTCACTTTCACTTATTCCTGATTACCATTGACTGCAATCAGATGTAGAATCTTTCAGGACATGTATCAAACACTGAAACTGTTAATGGATCAAAGTTCTGTGCATTCTATATATTGCCTAAAACATTTCACCTATCATTCTTTACCTGTATCTAATTAAAAAAAAGTTTAAAAAAAGTTTGTAATTTTTTTTGATAAATGCAAACGCAATAAAAATCTGACATAGGTTATATTTGAATCATTTTGTTATAAAACATTAAATATAAAAAATATTTCTTCAAACAATTAGGCTGAAATGTATTCTGCTGCATTACTTTGGTTAAAAAAAAAGCAATAATTGTATATTGATTAGACATGTAATCCCACAACAAAATTGTTTTGTTTTGTTTCAGATCGATTTGTATTTTTATATTTCTTTCATTTCTCAGATTTCGGATCTGAAATTCAATTTAGTTCATAATTCAGATTTTGGATCCATCCAAAGTTCCGTTTCAGAATGATCTAAAGTTTTGTTTCGGAACAAAGTTACATGACCCTACCTGTAATGCCCAACAGCCAAAAAAAAATCTAATTGGCCAGAGGACAGTAACATGTCTGATTTAGTTTCATTTTGAATGAAATTCAGACAGATCCAAATTTTGTTAAATGGACATTTGGATTCGTTCACATGCAGATGTGTTCAAATTCTGAAATTCGGACGCATCCGAATGTTTAAATTTCACTAAATTCATACGAATATCCATGAGTAACAAAATAAAATGTACATGTCTAATATTAATTACAATGTGTGACAGGTATACAGTCTACAAACTATGGTTTATATATCTGAAATGTATCAATACCGGAGTCATGACTGCCTATTGCATTACCTGAGGCTCTGAAAGGCCAAGGCAGTAGAAACACCCCCAAAATAACCCCATTTTGTAAAGCAAACATGCCAAGGTATTTGAGAAGATGCTTGGTGAGTTTTTTTTTAAAGATTCCATTTTTTTTTAGCGAGGTTTCCCCTCACCTTTATGTTCTGCTGACAACGGATTCACCAGGAAGAGAGAAAATCTGCAACAGAGACACAGATAGAAATACATATCAGACAGGGGTTCTAATCCTTTTATTTCTGTGTTACTGTTGGAATTTTTTTTCTCAGTGCCTGTCGGATAAAACATTGTCAGCATGGCAGGAAGCAAGGGTAAATCTCTCTAAAGGAGCCCACAGAGTAATAAAAGTAGTTAAAACATAGTAAGTAAAAGTAGTAAAACTCTTCCCCATTCTATACAAAAATAAAAATTAAATATATTCCCAGATTAAGCTACCTGGTACACCATGACCACCAAACTCCCCTCTTCTTTTCTAATTCCATAGGCTTATTCTTCTGTTTGTGACGGATTCACCCGGTCCAAACTTGCTGAACGTCATTCACACGCAGTGGCAGAACTACCGCCATAACGACCCATGCGGGCGCTATGGGGCCCGAGACTGAGGGGGGCCCGGTCAGGAGCAGGGCTTATAGTCCTCCCAGCATAGACACGCACACGGTGTAAAACACAGGAAATAGAATTGGATGGAGAGGATTAGCCCTCACAACCTCGGACATTGTAGCGGGTACAGTGAACGATCTGCGCTGCACAGCTAGAAGGGTTGTGTCAGAGTCCTGCTGCCTTGTCTGGATTCATCAGTATCAGGAGTGGGCGTGGCCATGTGGTTGTTTACCTGGGGACTGGAGTCTGGAGGGGAGAAAGTGGCACAATTTTGGAAGGACGGACAGTGGCTGCAGGGACTCGCATTGAGGAGGGGACCTCTGAGGTCAGCTGGTCATGGGGCTTGAGTCATACTGCTGGCTGTTGCTGTATGGTGCTGTGATCTGTCACAAGACTTCCTGGGTGTCTGCTGGCTATGCTACATGCTGGGTCATTCATTCCTGTGCCTGTCATCTGTCATTGTCCAGTACTGTTCCTGTTCTTTGCCTCTTAGGGCTTGTTCACACCACTTACAGTACGTTCCAGTGTAATTTGCTGCTGGAACGCACTGTATTGCATTGCACTCTTAGGCGGGAGGGAGCGTGGCGGTACATTGAAGTCAATGGCACTGCAGCCACGCCCTCCCCCCCGCCTGCACTGATGTGCCACGTGTTCTGGTGCAGGCGATCGCACTGAAGACGGAGGGCACGGCTGTGGTGCCATTGACTTCAATGAACCACCACACCCCCTCCCACCCCAGAACGCAGGGGGGGTTTAGTATGCGAAACAGTGCGTTCCAGCAGCTAACCGCTCTGGACCGCACTGTCAGTGGTGTGAACAAGGCCTGAAACCCCTTTTATACCTTGACATACATTGCTGAAATTGTCTTCTATTTACACTATGGCTCTTCTGGCTGCTTTAATCTTAAAGGCTTGTTTACACCAGCCCATGGGCGTTTATCGCACTATCCCATGCCCAGAATGCAAGGGATTGCATATACAAAGTCTCCTTACGTTCTGGGGTGGGAGGGGTCGTGGCAGTGCCATTCATATCAATGCCCACAGTGTGACCGGCTGCACCGGAACGCATGGTAATACAATGCCCTGCGCTCTAGTGCGGTGCAATCACAAAGAATAGTGCATGCACTATGCTTTCAATTTTGTATTTGATTTATTATATGGTTATTTACATTTTTGTTTTGCTGTTCAAAAATATTATACGCGGTAGCTTAGGTACAGTGCCACATGAGTGTAGTAATGTGTTGTTCAATGTCATTGTTTTGTTTTTGATGGGTGTAGGTTGGGGGGCATACACAATTTTTCTACGTGGCCCTGTGATTTATAGCTACGCCCCTGACCACATGTGACTATGCGCAATTCTAAACCGAGTGAACTGTCATAAGGACGTGGCAATACCACTCTCACCCTGCACAGAGATTTCCCAGCTCACGGCACAACATTCTCAGGCAGCAGACTGAGAGCGATCGTCCATAGGGTTGGTTAACTCCCCAGTTAAGTACTTTACACACTAAATGATCGCTGCCACCACGTGTGTTAACGGACACACAAACCGATCCCAGCAAGTGCTGTGAGAATTTAAAAACTTAAACAAAGCCTATGATACCACTGTCCTCTCAGACAGGAATATGACAGGTTTCACTATATAGTAGCGCTCTTCACAGAGGCAAGCATACTATAAGTTCTTATTTATAGCGCAGATAGAAGCTTAATGATTTTTAAGATTGTCCTTTCATAAAAGAAACAGTGCAGAAAAGATTTACAGAAAAAAATATTAATAAAGAGAGACAAATATATAACAGCAGTAAAAGAAAAAGGCATAAAAAGAGAGCACCCTAACTGTTACATTTCATATCTAGGATTATAGTGGAATATTGATACACAATACTGTCCGACAACCCATAAATTATTATGCGTCATGAAAGTAGCTTAACATGAAGATCAAACTTGCCATATATATGAATCATGATTGGCGCAAGAGGATTGATGGGGCTTGTCAAGCCTCTGAACATCATAACCTGTCCATGATTGATATGTATACCTTTGCCTTTTCGAGACACAGCTATTTGTACCCTTAATTTTACAATATCGCTCTCCAATTCCAAGTTAGGACATTGAGGTGATATTGTAATGTTCAGTTAATGGTTTTGGGTGAATGCAAGGTCATCTGGGTCATTATCCTTACCAGGCCCTCTTGTGTTTATCTCAACCTGTCAAGTGCTAATTTATTAGGGGATTTAGCTGAGCCATGCCAAATTATTACGATGGCATTAGTGATTTACATCCCCGATCATAAAAGAGTCATTTAAGCTGATTCACACCAGGTTTATGGGAAACTCCAGGTAAACGATCAGGTGCTTCACTAAGAACTATCAAGATTACAGGGCCAGATTAGCAGATATTGTTACTGGAATTTGAAGATGTCTGGAAAACTGAGGGCAGCCAGAGGTCACTTAAACTGAATGGAAGGCTGCATTTTTTCTAAGATGAGAGAAAAGAGAATTTCATAGTTAATATTAATAAGCTCAAACCTCATTACCGTCACAGTGTTCACACAATACTTGGACTGTACTACACTGCCCAAACTAAGTGCATCAAGGTTCACTCACTTGCCACCTGTCAGAGAACCAAGAAACCAGATGAAAACTACAAGTCCAGATTAAAAAATAGAGAGTTTATTGAAAGTGGCAATAAACAAATTAGAAAAACAATAGGTGAATTTATTCATGGATGGAATTCATCCATTCGCTGATCTCCTCCCTGCTGAATAGATCCGGAAGCGACGCTACAGAAGTCAGGGAAGAAGATGGTTGAAGCATGATCTGTGCTTCAATAACTTATTTGCAGTGGAAAGGGGACACTAATGTTAAAGAGAACCTGGAACCTCCAATGTGCTATTACATAGGGGGGCTAAAAGCCCCCCCC